ATCTACATAGGTTATTTTTAAATTAATAAAAAAACAGGGCCGTTTGTAGTTTAAAAAATCAAGGTCTTTTATATATACGGAGTATTAAGAAAACTACTTCATATTTTATTACTTTCGTGTAGTAGTATATTGGAATTGGAAGAGAATAATTCAAATATCTCAACTTTGAAAAGGTGTAACATATGTACCCCAAATTTACACATAATATATACAATGTATATCTCAAAAACTTATATAAAAAGTTATGTAAGCATGATCATATACATTTTTTCTCAAATGTAAATTTATGATGTTAAGAACTTAAGTTTTTTTATCATTAAATCCAACTAATATACTAAATCAAAATAATGTTCGTCACATGGCTGATAATACAATCAAAGAAAATATCACCTCTGTAGAAGCAATAATATTCGTTGATCCTGTAATGGGCTTAACTGAGTCAATGACTAGCAAACCAGACTCCTCACCACCTAACTTCAAATCTAGAATCTCTCTCCTAGGAAATAAGAACACGTCCAAAACAACATATAATTTGAAAGAAAAACACAAATAGAATAAAACAGAATTAAAATAGAGTTCACCCATTTCTTTCAAACTCTAACCTTGCTTGCACTCCATGGCGGCGGCTCAGGAGGGGGACGCGCCCGCCGCTCATCCGCATCAATAGTCATGCGTTTGTATTGAATGACGATATCCGGCCTCTTTTGACATCACTTCTTGCTGAATTGAAACCATACTCCGGCTTGAAACCATACTTAAGCAAATTGCAATTTCGGCTTCTTCAACAACCATGATAGGACTGTCAACGAGCTCGAAACACTGGTGCTTCCAAGCCGGGAAAAATAGAAAGAAACGAACTCCGGCGCTGTGATCAAATTGATCACCGCCGGACAATCCAAGCTAGGCGTTGCCTTGTGGCAACCCAGAGAGAGCAAGGAAAACGTCCGAAGACGACTGCAAAAGAAACGTCCGAAGACGGCAACCCTAGAAAGAAGTTGCAGAACGGCCAAAAAATTAGTGTTATGGCTACTTTTTAAGGCATGTTAAGTACTTAATTTAAAACACATAACTTTAAAAAAAAGTACATAAAAGTTTATGAGGACGCAATTACAATTAAATTGTACCGGATGTAATATTATTTAGTTTCCAAAATAGTTTTAGAGTGTTAACTTCATCCTAACAAAGCTTAGAATATTTTAAATTATGTAATTATTACAATCAATTATATTTGTGAAAAACATCCAATTGTGGTGACGTAGTGCGAAAATAACCTTTTATATAAAGTTCTGTGTGTGTGTTACTTATGCAAATTTGGACCTCATCAAAATTTGAGATATTTATACTACCTCCGTCCCAAAAAATTCTTCTCACTTACTTTTTGGGATGTCCCAAAAAATTCTTCCCATTTCCCGTTTTTGAAATGTTTGTGTAGCTATCATTTATTTACGTTTTTCTTACTCAACCACAATCATACATATTCACTTTATTCTCACTTTCTTAAACTCCAATCCAAGTCAAACCGGGAAGAAATTTCCGGGACGGAGGGAGTACTATTTTGCCCTAGCATATTCTATACTATACATTCCTGATTTTCATGATTGATGCTTTACTTTTAGATGAAAGATGGCTTTATACACCACTTTTGAGTAATATTGGACTTTACATCATATTTTTCACAAATGAACGGAGTGTGTGCACTTCATCTACTACTCCCTCCGTCCCAAAATGATGGTCCTGTATTTTCTTTTTGGGATGTCCCAAAATGATGATCGTGTTTTTCTTTTTGGTAAAGACCTAAAATTGGATTACCATTTATACGGTTATATCTCTCCTTTTTAATGAACAGTAAAAGTAAAAGGATGAACAGTACAATAAAGTAAGGTTCTTTAGTCTTTCTACAACAATTTCTTAATCTTTTTGCCCAAAAGAAATAAGACCATCAAATTGGGACGGGTGGAGTATGAAAAAATTTGACTTTGGATTCCATCCTTTCACAAATTTTCAGTATGATGGAATGCACACATTAATTTTTATAGAAATAGAGCGTATCATCCAACGTTGTCACCTAAAAATGGGTACAAAGTCAAAGTTTCTCTTACTTTTCCCATAGTCTTTTCAACATTTTGCCCAATTTGCATATAAGCATACACATAAGGGAATAAAACAAACATTTTTTATGCATATAATTATATAAAATGTATTCATACTTGCACCGTTCATCCATATGACAGTGATTCATGGATTTCATGCACACAATACACCGATACCACTGTGCAACAACTAATTTAGAATGAAAATTGAACCGATATTACGGTGCAACAACTGATTTAAAGTAAAAACCGTAAGTCTTATTCATTTATTCATGAACTTAAATTAATTTTCAATTCACTTGTCAAAAAATATTTATCATTAGTAAATGATACTAGTATTATATGTTGAAGACTTTGAAATCTCTATTCTTTGCTTTATAATATTACTTGATTATTATAGTTAACAAGACAAATTCACCGTAAACATCTGTGTAGGATTGATCACTATTTATAGTACAAAATACATGGGAAAGATAAACATGCGGCATAGGAATTCCTATCTGTGCTGATACCTTTGGATAAGAATTACAAGAGCCGTGTAGGCACCTAATGCAGAAGCAACTAACTTGACAACCGTGTACAAGCTAATGGATAATAATGTAACAATATTTAATTAATAAATACTACACACTAATATATGCGGAAGTAATAATACGTAGGTATTAATATATGTACAATACGCATGGCATGCATGCTATGTTTAATACGCCCCCACAGTTGAAGCGGGAGGCTCCTGGATGCTGAGACTGGTCCGAAACTCTTCAAACAAAATGAGGGGTAGACCTTTGGTGAAGATGTTGGCGTATTGGTGTCGAGACGGAACATGAAGAACCCGGATTTGACCGCGTGACACCTTTTCACGAACAAAATGAATATCCATTTCGATGTGCTTAGTACGTTGATGTTGGACGGGATTGCCGGATAGATACACAACGCTAATGTTGTCACAGTAAACTACGGAAGCTTTGTGATGAGGATGGTGAAGTTCAAGGAGAAGATTACGTAACCAACAAAGCTCGGCAACAGCATTTGCGACACCCCGGTACTCGGCTTCGGCGCTAGAACGAGATAGAGTGGGTTGGCATTTAGAAGACCAAGAAAGCACGTTATCTCCCAAGAAGACACAATATCCCGAGGTGGAACGGCGAGTATCGGGGCAGCCACCCCAGTCCGCGTCAGTGTAGGCTATATATGAGGTCCGTGATGTTGGAAATGCCGGGGAGGAAGAAATTATGTGTTAAGTATTTGATCTTAGTACAATGCATACGTATGTTCAAATTAAAAGAAGAAAAATACATGAACGACGCATGGTTTTTTTTTTGTGGTAACCAAAGTCTCTTCTCTTTTGATTCCCATTTTCTCAATTTATAAACAAAGCAACAACAACTAACCTCCTATGCACGTACAAATGCAGTTACACACACCACTATGAGACCCACTCGCTCACTCACTCCACAACCTCCCATGCATGCGTACCAAGTTATTTACATAAATAACCTAATTAATTGACCAACTAAACTAATTGACCCAAATTAGACTAACACTAATGCAACGGCACATACACACATTAGTACCATTACAACACATGCACGGTGTCACGCGACGCACACTACTTGGCATGACTCATCCCGCCGTGCACTAACACTCTAGTCCAAAATGCATCAATGCCTCAAAATAAACTAAATTAAACATAATAAAATTATAAACAACAAGATTAACTCCAACAATCACCCCTTAATCTTGTTGTCATTTATTTAGAACTCCTCGTGGACCATCACAGCAGTTCCGCCTCGTGGTCGGCGGTCGCGAAGGCGAGATGTGCCTGCTCCTTCCTTGGTGTTGTGCAATCCTTGGAGAAATGCCCATACTCCTGACAGTTGTAACATCGTACCTTACGAATGTCGAATGTACTCTTCTTCTTGCCGGTGCCGCCGCGGTAGCGAGAACGCCACTCCTCCTCTGTGAGTAGCAATTGACCTCCACCGCCATGGTCATTGTTGTCGACGTCGTCGTCCGCATCGCTCCTATCCTCCACCGTTTTGAGTCTTCCCACAAGCTCCTCCATGGACATGGTTTTAAGATCAAGAAGCTGTTCAATTGCAATAGCTACATGGGTGTACTTGGACAACACGATCCGAAGAAGTTTCTTCACGACTTTCACCTCCTCGAAGGTCTCACCGAGGGTACTTGTCCAGCCACTGGATGAGATCTTCTGTCTGGTCGCCAATCGCCATTTGTGGTGGTTCTTGAAGAATATTTTTGATGTATTATTTTTAGCATGTTCTTCATGAAGTGCAGATTATGTTCACACAATTTTAGTTTAAAATTTAGGATGTTTTCTTTTGGACTGTTTTCAATCCCTAACCAGACCAAATCAGACCAGACCAGACTTCCGTAGTTATAAAATACACAAAAACTAGACGTTACCAAACCAGACCAGATCAAACCAGCAAATTTCAATCCAAAAGAAAACATCCTTGATAGAGAAGCCAATTGAGTAAATTATTAAAAAATATTACACTTTTATGAGTTTATCTATATAGATTGACACAATGTTTTTCAATAATTTATTTAACTACTTCCCGAATGAATTTTAATCTAAACTTTTATAAACATGTTGTACACTATGAAGAACGTGCTCAAAAAAATCATCAAAAATTTCTATCAGGAACCACCCCAGACGCCAAACAAAAGGAACTATTCATCTGCCTTGACATTATCATTACTCCAAATATATATTCAAATAATTAAACTTCACGTATCCCCAAATGTTATACAAGGATTTTCTAACTTGGGGTTGACCAATTTTTTTGCCCGACCTCTACCAGTCTACCCCAGAATATGTGCAAACCATTGAGGATGTTGTACTTACCAAACAATACCCATATAAAAACTTGCGGAAGAGGCAAATTGAGTTTTGCAAACAAATGGATAATGTGAACTTTCTATGAATGCCCAAATGGAACATACACTGTTTTTCATACCACAAAACACACCAAAAGGACAAAGTTATGAACACTACTTGCATGGTTGGGTATTTGTTAAATAGAAGACACGCAAACTTTCTGCATCATGTTCTTCTTTATAGGTAAAAAAAAAGAATAATGTACACATTGAACCCTTCCAGACAAATCACAAATGTCTGATCACTAACATGAGAACAATTCAAGGAGAACTTCCATAACATGTATTTACTTTGGAACACCTGAAGCCTCTAAAAAACAGTATTGCCGAAACAAGAATCCAGCTTGCACTGAACACACAAGGGAAACAATTGATGTTCTTTTCGAATGCAGGGATCCCACCCTCCCCCATGCTCTCAATAACAGCATCTCATGTGGCGGCACTTGATAAACATCATTTTATATCAGATCTACGTGTCAAGACCATTCTTGATCATTTGCCATGACAATTGACAACCTGGTGCCTGCTGCACTGTTTAGCGTATTTTTTTATGCATTAAGATGAAATAAAAGGTGTCAGATGGTAGAAGTGTTCTTTTCACTACTTGAGATCAAAACTCCATCCAACCGCACTTACAATTAAAAATAAAACAGAAATGGAACAAAGAAACATCAGCTTAATAAGACATGCAAGAAGTAAATAGTCTTCTAAATAAAAGTAAATAATTGTCAGATCCCCATAGGCTTACCTTCAAATGTTTCTGACATGGAGAATATTAGCTGTCCAAAGCATATGCTGGCAACTGTGTTCAATTGCAAGGAAAAAAATAGTGATAAGAGACTTTATGCTGCCATCACTACACCCACATGAAACAAAAAGGGATACAATATCCTGTGGTCCTTTGGATGAGTATATAATGGTACCTCTTGAGGTAGGTCAACTTTTTATTAGTTATTTGCATTTGTATCCTTATTATACTACATATGTATCCCTAAGATTGGAACAAGAGGAAGTGATGTGAATATTAAGAAAAGTAGAGTTATGCGGCTGGTGTTGAATTGATAACATGTGAATAAAAGTAAAGACTGAACTAGAACCACATGAGACAAACATATTGGGACATGGGTAAAAGGAAAAATGGGACAATGATAGCGGGACGGAGGGAGTAATACCTAGGGGTAGATGTTTTTCCGTACATATACGGAGTAACATAGACTAGAAAATTACATCTTTCTCTGATTGATATTAAAATAAAATTACGCCTAATTTTCTGTTGCCACAAAGTGGTCATTCAAATATTTCAACTGAGTTCCATATAGATCTGATAAGACAGAAAGTAGAATTCTCTTTAGCAGAGCTATATACTCCAAAAGAAGCTTTTTTGCCATTAACCAAAGTACATTACATAATGAAATGAATGAACAAGAGGATAAACATTACAAAAGACACATGACACAACTTCCACTGTAATTATCAGCTCTATGTATGAATCCTATTCTACGCTTTCTATAAGACCCAATAGAATCAAACATTGGAGTTTCTTTGGAATTCAAGACCAAAAAAACATTGTGTGCCGCAATAATATAAATCCTGGTGGCAGGCAAGAAACTAAGGAGTTTAATTGTTCCAAGAAGCCTGAATCTATCTGCACTAGATTAAAAAAAAAATAGTCCAATCCCCCCTCCAAGGAAAGAGTTTTGTTAACCTCAATTATAAATTGCACTAATAGTCATTAGTCACATAATCTTATGTAGAAAAAATAAGTAGATAAAAGTATGCAGCAGTTCAATGCATTGAATATACCTCAAGCATGTCTTCATCATGTAAAGAGTTTGTATGATCCAATCCATTTGAATTATCATATTGAAGGATCCTCAATTTTCCTTCCTGGAAATTTAGATTATGGTATAACTCAGAGAAGAGCAGCACAATTCAACGAATACACAAACAACAACAATCTATGGATTTTACCTTGGTCCCATATACAAGCCCCCCGCCAACTGCAGGATGGAAACATGCGACATTGACCTCATCCTCTGAGCTAGGAAGAACTCTCACAAGTTCCATATCAGAAACTCTATAGACCTAATTAGCAATCATACAAAATCAGTGGAATAACAAACAAAAAAACACTTCACCCGGGATACTCAAACATCAGGACAAGAAATGCTTCTCTCTAAAATCACCTAAGTATAATTGGAGTCCATAAGAAAATATCCTACGTTGGCTTTATTCACTTGTGTATGTTTTTTACGGAAAGAGTAAAGTTGTAGGGATAGTGAGTGGTGTAGAAATAAGGAAAGTGAGAAGGTGAATGAATAAGTAGGAATAAGTAAAAGTAATTGTGTAGATATGCTCGTTGTTGCAGAAATTAAATGTGGACCAAGTAATAATAAACTTCCATAAAAGGAATGTGGAGCAAGTGAAAGTGAACAGACGCAGTGTTATTTTATATTGAGTTTGACCTAATGGTCAGCTATGCATATTTTCCTACCATTTGTTTGGGCGGAATTACTTAGCCTCATCTAGACAAGAAACCGTGAGAGTATTCTGTAACGGAAAATCAATCAGCTTTGGCTTTTCAAGTTGACTTCAGGGGACAAAGTCACACATCTATTACTACAGCTTGGTAAAGTCACCAATTCACCAAAACTTAAAGGCACCCTGGGCAGTGGACGGTGATTGAATTTATATTTTATAAATTTAATTTACCCAAATACCTTCCCAGTTATCCATCCTCGTTCTATTTTACAGTTTTTGAATTTACACTAATAACAAAAACATAGAAAATTTACGTAGTACCAATAAATTATTTACTTTTTAAAATTTATAACTAAAAAATAGCAACTTAAACACAATTTCTACTCAGCTAAGTGGTAAAAAGACCTTATCCTACAATTAACCACATCATGAAGAGTAAATATAGTGATTTGTATAATATTTGAGCATTTAAAGAGGTATAACTATAGATAAGGGTGTTTGGCAATTACTAGACCGAGGATTGTATTAGGTGATGTTGCTCGAGATATACTTTAGCTGTTTTGAATAACATGCAGTTCGAAACATGAAAAATGATTTGTAAGGAATTAAGGGTATGAACATATCAAGGTAGTCAAGATCAAGATCCTACATAAGATCAAGAAAGGGGATGAAGATCATAAATCATGGGTCATGCAAGCATAAGATTCTCTACAAATTTATAAAGAGTCATATATGTCGAGAAGCATCAGAGAGCCATAGATCGGAAATTAGGTTCAGGTTTGAAAAACATGTTTTTTCAAAATTGCGACTGGATAACCCCGGGCCAAAAGTCTGCTTTTGGAATTCGGACAACAATAATATATTGCTGAATTCACAGGATTTGATCGCCAAGGCACAATAAGCTTATAGAATCTAGTGATCCTACGCACCTAGTCGCAAATTTAGCTACCTTGGAGCACGTAGGTTTATATATTAAGATATCTTCACTTGTATACCAAAAGGATACCATGAAATGATATTTCACATTTATCAATAGCGATGAATTTAAGGATTGGTAGCCCGGCTAGGGCACGAGGTCAATAGGAGGCTTCTAAGAGCACTAAGTGTTTCCTACGCGATAAACAGGAGCCTAGCACATAGGTGGGAAAGCAAAGTGTAGTAAGGTTAGGAGGGACGCAAGTAAGAATTAATTGGAGGTTGTTAAGGAAGACTTAAAGCCTAGTTGACTGCTTTTTTAAGAACAGTGAGTAGAAACCTCTCGACAGTGCTTTATAATAGCAAGTTGCGCCTTAGCCAATATTTTGAGCAATCCTTTTATAATTCTTAATTGAATTCCTCTGAAAACATCTAAATAAAACGATAAGCCCATAATGAACATCAGATGAGTAATATAATGAGTTTGGAGAGAAAAACGAGATATACTTTAATAGCTCCAATTAGCAAGGGATAGAAGATGCAAGTAGAAGATGCTCAAAAGTGAATAGCACCAAAACACATCTCACCTCAAGTATTGTGTAAATAGGAACTGTCGTGTCTCCATCAATCACTACACTTTTAAGAAGTGAGCTGTGACGACGGCCATACGCAAGTAGGAGATGCTCAGAAGAGGGCGAGAACTGCAATTGTAAAGCAGGCAAAGAACTCAATAAGGTTTAGTGTGACATACAAGCAATTCCCCATGAAAGTATAACTTCATCTCTGAAGAAATGGAGCTTCAAGATACTTCAAGAAATTAAGAACTATACAAAAACAGACTTCTAAGCTTTGTAACATATAAATAACATGCCAAAGAAAATAGAGCTTCAAGGCGGTTCATAAAATTAATTATAGTATTATACCATTATACAATCCAGGTGCTAGCAGTATCTTAAAATCCATCTTATATGATGCTAGTTTAGCATATGAATGATGAAATTAAACATGCGTTAGAAATGCAGAAAGTAACTGATGCAAGGGAAAAAATAGAGTAAATCATTATAGACTAGATTTTTATAGACAAAAACTTGTTCAGTTAATTTAAATGATAGAAAAAGAAACAGGTATTAACTGGGTGTGCACAAACCAGTTCAAACCAGAAAACCGGATTGGACCAAACTGGAAAACCGGAACCAAACAGGAATGATATCCAGTCCGGTTTTCGGTTATCAAAAATAATAATTCGGGTTTCCTGTCCGGTTCCAATTAAAAATTTGTTTTTCCTGTTTGAACTGCAACTAACTGATTCGCAATATTTTTAAATGTATAAATTAATTCTAATATAATAGTACCTCCGTCCCCCTAAAATTGGCACAAAGGAGAGTGGTGCGATTTTTAAGAAAAGTAGAATTATGTGGTTGATAATTAATTGATAAAGTGTGAATAAAGTAAGAATGAATTAGAGCCACAAAAATATTACCAAATATGGTATGGGACAAATTTAGTGGGACGGACGGAAAAGGCAAAATGGGTCAATTATAGTGCAGCGGAGGGAGTAATAATTATAAAATAAGTAAAATAATAATACATAATAGTTATGGGTGCGGTTCCGGTGAGAACACTTCTCAACGTGAGAAATGAGAACGCTCCAAAACGATGCATTTTATCATTCACGAAAATGCACATTTATAGTTAAAGTAATGCAAAATTCTAATGTGCACTTTTACGTGTAAGCTTTTGCACACTTGAAATGCACATTTTCCAATTTTTTATATGCACATTTCTGTTTTACTTGATGCACAATACCAAAATCTAACGCTCCAGAATCATTCTCATTTCTCACGTTACGAAGTATAATAGCTATATATTATAATTATAATATATATCATCTCGATGTTATATTCATTCACTTATTTTTATTATCCTGAAATAGAAATAATTGATATCTACTAATATGCACTCAAATTGTGCTGATATTTGCTCTCTAAAGCTAATGAATATAAAAAAACATAATAACAATAATAAAAATAATATTAATAATAAATACTATAGCCTCCCGAAATATCAGTTCTTTAGTAAATCAAAAAGTCAATAATTTTTTAAACCATATTTTCCGGTCTGGTTCCTTTTTTGAACCGCTTAGATCGGTTTGACTCCACATAAAAACCGGATATCTCCAGCCCGGTTTCCAGTTTCCGGTTTTCATTATTTTGAAAAACCTGGTCCGGTCTAGTTTTGAACCGGTGCACATCCCTAGGCCCTAGGGACGGGTAATACAGAAAGTAACTGATGAAAAGACTAGATTTAACAAGAAAAAACTACTACTATGTGTTAATTAAGCACTTTAGTCAAGCTTACTCATTTTACTTTAAAGGTGCTCCTACTGTTTGCAGTTCTTCGCTTCTCATTAGTCTTTGAAGTGCTAGTATTTGCTAAACATCATTGTTATCTAAGTCACTCGAGCCAAATTTGAGATTTGGAACTGCTACTTGCACCCCCACTGCCCAAAAAATAATTCCTACATTACATACTACCCTACCCTTTCCTTGGCCATTGTCTAGATATATGCCTAAACCCTGATTGCATATAGGCACTGCATGAAAATATATCACGAAAACATAGTAAGAGCAGCCTTATAAGAAAACCAACCTGAATTGACGTTAAGCAATGTGCAGCTCTGATAGCCCTAGATGCAAGCACAGAGCCAAACCTACACAGACATAGATCTTAGCTTTAAATAACAATAAATGAGTCAACTGAGGCAATAAATGAAGTATAGGACCTACGTTGACTCCTCAAGTGAATATATCCGCAGCTCATACATAATCCTGTGGGCTGAAATTGGATGTCTAGTTGGGGAAGTTCCAGCCCCCATCATGTCATTATGCATATGTGCATGAAAGCTGGGATCAGTATCCATGTTTGGTAAAGCACATGCAACACAGACTGCTAAAAACCGCCCACATGGTGAAAAATGTGCGCCCATCTCACTGGAAAAGCATTAGATCTCAAAGTCAAAACATTAAAAATGAACTCATAGGTGTAGTTTAGATGTTATTTTGGTTTTTACTCAGATGTGTGTTGGACAGAGATGTAGAAATATTAACAATATGGTTGAATTAAAAAATATGAAGAAGATCAAACAAAAACTACCGTTGGAAACAGCTACAAAAATGACAATAAGCATAAAACAGCTGAATGGCTGAACTTTTTTAAAGGTGCAAACTACAGAAGAATCATACCTACACAGTACAGCGTGTGGTATGGTTAAGCGACATTTGTCTGCATCAAGAAGTGCACAAGGAGCTTTAAGATCATGAGGCCATATTCTAAGCTTCACAGTGCAAGGCAACTCAGCTGCCGCAGCAGCAGCAAGTGAAGTAGCAATCTCAGACTGGATGTGGCTCATAGAAGGTTGAATATCCATATCATCATTTACGGTACTGTTTGAAGCAACACCATCACCAGATCCTGTTGTGGTGGGTGTAATGCGAGAGCGTGAAGAACGGTGCCGAGAACCAGGCCTTCCTGAAATCCTAGGTTGAACCATGCTAGAGACTGCAGTGGGTATTGATGAAGGAGCATGATCTAGCTCATCAGGAATGGGCAGGTTGTTATTACCACTATTGTGTGAATGCATTGCCCGTTGACCAGCTTGACTTTGTCCAACCAACCACCCTTGCAAGAAAGGTAGGTCCCAGTATGCTGGGTCACTAAAAGGGAAAAATTGATTGTTTCTCTCCTCCTGCTGCAAATCTGTCTCCATGACATCAACTAACGGATGAGAAAGAGTATTGCCATGTTCCCTCAAGGAAGAACCCCCTACTGCTCCTCCTTGCTCAGGAGGGTTACTTGGTTCAATAGGGGACAACAAAAGTTCATACTGGCCAGAGGGAGTCGAATATGTTAATAATCGCACAGATGCAGTAGTGTTATCTCCTCTCTGTTGTGCACTATCAGAACCTGAATCTGCATTACTCTGCTGTGAAGGCATTCTAGGATCTCCTCTACTAATTGAGGGCCAGATCATAAAAGGAATAGACATGATAGGCAGTTCATTTGCTGAAGCAGATTGGTATGTGGAATGAGCATCTGTCAAATACACGGTAGGAGGGGGATACCGCAGATTACCAGGAGAAGTTGCCAGTGTCATAGACGAATCTGATGAGTCCAGATCATTGACCTACACCACATTTGATTATGATAATAACAACATTCAAATATTCAATAGATAAATCCTTAAGTTAAAAAAGCACCCAATATACCTCGGCAGTTAAAAGAAATGGGGCAGCATGTGGGTGAAAATGAACAGCCCGGAGTGACCGGCGTGTCTTAAGTATAATGGTAGGAGATGATGACTCTCCTCTTCGATTGTAATGCCATATATAGAGCTGTATATGTTACAAAGTAAGCAACAGATAAATACTTTGGACATGAGTACATGACACTTGGAAACATATGTTTGCATTTCTGACCTTGTGGCCTGAAGCAACTGCCAAAATCTCTCCCTGAGCATGGAAAGCAATAGAAGCAATGGGCCGATCTGTAAAAAATTGCAGATGATATGACCACACAGATAAAATTGAAAAGAATATCATCTTAATGTAAAAAGTTACAGGCTATTACAAAAATCACGCGATCCTATGCACTCAGCAGTTTTTGCATCCCACAAGCGAACTTCATGGTCCAAGCTTCCACTTGCTAGTATATCAGAGTAAAATGGATGAAATCTAACCTGATGAAGTTAGACGTGAATTTTAGATAACAACGCGAACTGCGTCTCAGCTATTTTACTCAATGAGTCAAACACCTTTTGTTTCCCATGAGATACATGTACATGTATGAATGGACATGGCATTTTCTATTTAAACAGCAACAAACAATAAAGAATGCATACTAAACTACAAACTTCTTTCAATCTATGTTATAACGCTATTATAGATTTTTTTATATCCAGTCGCTATAGGAGAATGCTCCCTCTACATATTGAGAAAGTGAAATTGTATGGTTGTCGGTCGATGTAAAAAGAAGAGAAGTCCAACTACAAAAACAACGACCTAGAAAGGAAATGAATTTTTATTTATGGGACATCCTAAAAGGAAAAGTGGGGGGTCAGGACAGAAGGAGTAATAAATAATGCCACATGAATTCGAAAAAGGGAACGTTTATATTGCAATACATGTAGCTGCACACAAAGCAAAATACAAACTTGCAGAAGTGGTGAATACTTAGGTATAAATTAGGTTTTTTGGAGCATACACTGATACACTGCATTGCTGTTAAGCTTTTCTCCCCATTCAAATTTATTACATTTACGGTTTTATTCATATAAAGAAACCAGAAGCTGTGGAAATTTACAATTCAAATGAATAAAACGGGGGTATCCAGGCACGCAAAATTTCAGATGACATCCTTACCACCCAAGGGGTCCTACGATGGCCACTCAACACCTTTAAGCATTTCCCAGTTTGGCATTCTATTATCTTCACTGTATGATCTCCACTGGCATCATATCAAAAAATCATGGTCAAGATCATCATATCATATGCGTGTATTTATAGGTTATGCATTACAGTTGCCTGAGCTCAGACAGAACATGCATCTATTAAGCATATATATTTAGTAAATGGTGCCAGAAATGCATATATGGCAATAAATATTCACACATGCGTTCTCTCTAGTTTTCTTCCCACTTTCCTTTTCGTCCCTCCAACAATTACCTCTCATTCCTTCCATGGAAACTAATGGAAGAACTCAAAAAGTGTTCCCAGAGAATGAAGTCTGGGATGGTTTTTTATTATTTATTATAAAAAAGCACTAAAATCTAGATTCCCGGATTTTTAGAGCAAAATACTAAATACCCTTTTAGTTCTGTTAGTTTTTTATTGTGATTATGATTTATGAGCCAGGTCAAATAAGCCTATTTGTTTTTTAGTAATTTATTCCTATTACTGTGGTATTTCTTTTGTTTATTTGATTTATAGGTCCACTTGCCTCTTTCAAATCCTTTCCTTTACTTTTAATAAGGGGTGACAAAGATAAAAATCGAACTTGTTTAATCATAGGAGTAATTAATCGTTGTTTTTAAGGTCAATCTATTCATGCGTTTCGATAATATTTTTCCTTGTTCACTAATAAATCAACTAATTAAGCTAATGTTTCTATAATCAATTCGTTCCCTGGTTAAATTGGGGACAAACACCTACGAAAAGATCGCTTGGATTTAATAGAAGGTTGATTGGGTTTGTCCATAGTTTGTTTATTCCATATTATTTCTCTCTTCTAATAAACCTCAATCACTCAGTTTTAACTTTTTATTTTCCTAAATCTCGTATTTGGTCAAAGTGAGCAATAACATCAGGACGGAGTAAGTAACTAATAACTTTATGAGAATGAAAATTTGGCATTAAAATTTTATTCGTCAATTCATTTGGAATTTTATCAGTCAGTCTATCAGTTGTATTAGGTTATCGAAACTGCAAAGTGGGCCCAAAACACAGATATTAAAACTATGATATCACCAGTCCAAAATGCAGCATGCATTTGTGCGTCACATACAGGGACGGATCCGCAGGGGGCAGGGGGGCAGTTGCCCCCTCTCAACCCCCACCCAACCCCTGCGTATATTTATAATACTGTGTACTTTGTATACACACACACATAAATGCTTAACGCATTTATATATACAATGAATGTCCGATTAATAACAAGTTGTTCTCTTGATGGAGCGGTGGAAGTGTTGTGGCATGTGGTTAGGGACGCGGGTTCAATTCCCAGTTACGCCGATTTTTTGTTTCTTTCATTCTGCCCTCTTATATGATATCCCAACATTAATTAATGGTGTATGCTTTTGTTTGGGATTAGACGTTTAGTCTTAATCTTTTCTTCGATTTAATATGTAAACACACATGCTCCTAACATATTTATATGTACAATGAATATCCGATTATTAACTAGTTGTTTTCTTGATGGAGCGGTGGAAGTGTTGTGGCATGTAGTTAGGGACGCGGGTTCAATACCCAGTTACGTCCAATTTTGTTTCTTTCATTTTGTCATCATAAAAGTTATCCCAACTTTAATTAATTTTGGATACTTTTGTTTGGTTTAGTCTTAATATATTCTTTAATTTAGTATGTAAAAATGACTAACTATTAACAATTTCCCCGAAAGTGCAAATTATATGCCTAATATTTCTTACTAATTTACTATAAACGTGAAGTTACATCAACAATAAAAAGTACTACCTCCATCCAACTAAGATTGTGACAAGAGGGTGTGGTGCAATTTTTAAGAATAGTGGAATTGTGTGATTGATATTGAATTGTTAAAGTGTAAATAAAGTAAGAATGAATTGTAACCACCCAAATATTACCAAATATGATATGAGACAAACTTAATGGAACGGATGAAAAAGGTAAAACGGGACAAATTTAGGGGAATGGAAGGAGTATGTAGTATTTCTTAAAAGAAATGTAAAGATATTTTTGGATGAAATGAAAAGTAAAATACGGCATACTATTTTTTTAATAAGAGTTGTTACTTACAATCATTTTGTAATGTCTTTTTCGTAATGTAATCGATTATTAGTGAAATGCGTAAGATAGCAATCTTTGTAGTATAATTCCCCCCCCCCCCACAGTCAGCACAACTGCCACCTTTCCTGATAATTAATGACTTTGGCGGTGGACCTTTACTTTTATAGATCATAGCTGCTTGGAAAAATCTATCTAATGCCTCAAACTTCATTTTACACTTATTTCAGCGGGTCAAGTGGTTTTAAAGGAGATCATGAATGACAAGAACCTATAATTGCAATTTAAATGAGTGGTAATAAAAAATACAACAAAACAAGAATTTAACACCAAGACATGGATAATATAAATATACACGCATACTATCCATACAAGACAAAAGAAAAGGTGGGAATTTACTGGGTAGATGCAAGGGTCTTTCCATCTGGACTAAATGCAGCTGCAATAGTTGATCGAGGAGGAGGCAGAAGGGGGCAATAATTTGCTGATAAATGTCGTAATGATTCTGCCTCTACCCTGCAATAGTGGAATCAATAAATATCAGAGAAAGGTCAAATTTTCCATGCATACATCATAGAATGTAAAACACCCTATGATTAGTAAATATCACTTACCATGATATAAGACCCTGTTTAACATCCCTCACCACACCCCTCTTTAGTCCTTTAGAATCAGCACTGCATGTTGTCTCCTGCCTCCAAAACCTTTTGGAAGACCGTTTACTTCGAGGAGATACCTCTCTGTGTGATAACAGCTGGAAGACATTGCCACAGCTGGAACCAAGGTAAAATTTAGTTAATACTATGAAGTCAGCACTACAAATTTGAAAATATCATATTGTCCCATGCCACATATGCAATCTAAATTTATAGTGGTAAAGTTCCTGATAACAATAAGAACTATCCAAACTGAAGATGGTTGGGGTAGTACGATATAAAATTATATTCCAGATTTCCAGGAAAAAATTTAACATTGCGCAACCCCACAGTATGCATGCAAACTCAATATCTCAGACCATCACGTTCTTCAATATAGTGTTACTATACCAGATGATTTGGAACTAAACTCGATAGGCTACAAGCAAAAGGTATACTTTTTATCAATACCACACCAGTGATTGCGAAAATTTTATCAATGAATACGAATGAATCCTCTCACTCTACCATCAGAGCATGTAAATCAGTAACATTTACCCCAATAAAACTCAACTCAAGTCTACCTAGCAAAGAAAAAAAAATCTAACACAAATCTACTCAGACATACAACCCAAAATTGATTTAGCATGTATCATAACTTCATGAGATAGTCAAATAAGAAATTCAATCTATTTGGTAACGTCAGATAAGGCAGCTCTCATGAAACTGCGATCATCATGACATTAATTCTATGATAAAAAAGTCAGTATATGACCCTTCAATTCGGCTTGAAGCCACCTAAATTTATCTGGGAAACAGATCTTTGAATTACAATTAGCTAAAAATCGCAATTTTAGCTAATCAACGGGTTCTGGAGAGGACCTATGAATGCAATTCGGAATTTGGTATGACGGTGCCCCTGGCTGGGTTGTACGATTGTGGGGAGACGGAATATGAGCAGACGAAGATGGAGACGGAGGGATGCGTGAATTGTCCGGCAAGAAAGTTGACGACGACGACGGCCTCATAATTTGCCAGAGAACGCCTCAATTCTCCGGCATCGGAAAACGAATCCGGACACCTTCCGGCGAAAGATGGGATTGGGCCGCGCAGGGGCGGCTTTGGGATTTGCTGTAAATACTGTAATCTGGACAAAGATTGCGGCGAGATCTAAGGGCAAACCGGGAAACAAACAAATGTAAGAAAACGAGGAAGACGCGAAATTGGCAAGTCCTAGGCATGGTTTTCCGGCATCGAGCATTAATATACAGAGCGAAATACATTTGCGAACATATGATTTATATATGTATAGACGTATTTACCCCTTCTCGATTAGACTGATCACGAGCGTGGCAGCTATTTAGCCCTCCTATATTCCTATCTCCATTTTTTCCAAATAATTCCTCATATACAAATTGTGCATATTATTTCTATTTTTATAAAATGTTTTTTTAATGATAACCTTTGAAAAGTGTTTTTTGGAAAAAAAAAAAAGTTGATAATACTGCGTATTTAATAAAGAAAAAACAAAACTCATATTAATAATCCATATTTTTGAGGATTCTACATTAATAAATCATACTCCTTCCGTCGCAAATTGTTTTGGAAAGTCAACATTTTTTTTGTCAATCAATAATATAAGTCAATCCCCTGTATCGATAATTTACTCCATTTTTAATAATAATTAAAATTTATATATTCAGAAATTACATTAAAATATCTTTATAGTTGCAAACTTCAAATTACAATATAATTAAAAATTGACGTCCTAATTAAGCAATTAAAATGAAACTGTTTGACCAAGAAAAGACAAATTTGCAAATCAATTTGGGACGGAGGTAATATTAAACAAATTGATAGAAATAATTCAATCATGTAAACTTATTCAGAAAAAAAGATTAAATGAAACGGAATAAACTATTGTGTTTCAAATATCATCACTAGCTCACCTCCACATACGACTTTTTTAGTCTTCTATCTCCTGCTCAACATTCTCTTAGTTCCTCCTCGCCTACTTCCATCTATATATTAATCCCATCTTAATCAACATGTCGTCTATTATTATCCCAGAATGGCCAAATATATTGTTGAAATGTAAGAGTTGGAGAGAAGTTTGAGTATATCTTTGATTATAAATAGTTCCATGAGACTCTTTGGATATAATATAAGTAATATTTTGAATTTACTTTCACAATAAGTGAACTATAGATTAGTATTAAGGTTAAGGTGATTTAATTTCAAGATTGCTATATATGTGATGTTCGTATATGCGTAAATGTGTTTTTTACAAGTTACAAAATTAGTAAAATTTAAACTTCTTGTTAGTCAGTAATATAGCTGCACTATAATATTTTTGTGCACGTGTTATATATATTGTGTAATAGATAATCACATTTTTGCAGATAATGTCTAATCTCATAAACGTGTCTGAGGTGTTGTTCACTCATTGATCAATTAGTTTTTAAGTGTTTAATATAAGCACAAACTCTGACTTGAAAACATTCATCTCAACTTTTAAAACCAAAATTTAAAAAACATTTTTTAAGTTCTTACAAACACTTCATAAATCTTTGTTTTCGTACATCAAAGCTTTTCATATTATACCTAATACCTTTAAAATTAAATTTAAGTGTTTAATGAAAATAAAAGTGTTTAATATTTTGTAATTTATATATTTCGATAAGTTTATGTACATGTTTAATCACAACAATAGGGATGTTTTAAATTAGAAAAAAAACTAGTTTTACCTGTTTAAGTGTAGTCTGATAGTTGTCTGATATATGTGTACTTGACGTGCACTTTGTCGTGAGTGCACTCAAAATAAATATCAATACAACACTTATACGTAGTATAGCGTAGTAGAGTTCGTATCCACAGGGAAAGGAATAACTTTCTTTTTATATAAATAGTAAATAAAAGGGGTTTTTTTTTTTTTTTTTTTTTGAAAACATAAAAGGGGGGTTTTGATCGAGTGATTTGATTAAAATTAAACACGAAGATGGACGAGTTATGTGGTTTAATTCGAAGATAAAAGGGACTTGGTATTGCTACTTTACACTTGTTGATATATTTTAGTCGATCATTGTTATATCTATAACTTATCTCCTCTCGAATACTCAATCGAGGAGTATATCCAATTCATCGAGGGTAGTTATTAACAACGACCGTTCATTAATAACCCTTACTATTAGTCAAGTATAGAACAACGCCATATACCGACTTGATAGTAGCATTTAATCTTTTAACTCCTTGATGAAATCAATTGAGATTGATAACCTCAACACAACGGTTTTGATTTAACCAACAAAATTAATCCCTCTTAAGTTTATTAACCACGACCGTGCATTAATAAACCGAAGTTACTTACTTGTGAAACTATCAACGATTAACCATCGGTTCGTTGATCATTTCTAGTAATAATTAATATATGAAACAAAACTAGTTGATCCTTTAAGTAATGTTCAAAATATTAATATGAAATATGAATAGGAATTAATTAATACTCAAGGAAGAATATTAAAGGGAATGAATCCTACTATAGTTAAATATCAAGATGTTAACTAATTGTCATCTTAGTAACACTCCCCGATATTAACATAGAGGAAGGAATAGCTATTACTAAAACCAATGTCAAGATGTTAACTAATTGTCATCTTAGTAACATTCCCCAACATTGATATAGAAATAGTATTTAAAAGAAGAATTAATATTCAAGGAAAAGAAGTTAAGAAAATAACTCACAACTTTAATAATCAACAAGCTTCAAGAGCAATACCAAGAAATGGAAGTTTAGCTCCTCATTTGGAGACTAAACATGCTAAAAGAAATATAGAGAAATGCTATTCTAAACTGAGCTTAAGAGTATAAAGGAATTGGTCATTTATTGTGGAGGAAATGGGGTGTATTTATAGGCTTTTTGGGCTTGCAGGGTCATGTACTCGATCGGGTATATTGGGTACTCGATCGGGCCTTCAGTTGTTTCGCAGAAGCTGGAAAAACATGGGCATACCCGATCGGGTATGTCGGCTACCCGATCGGGTATAGACACTCGATCGTGGTTAAAATCTTCCCTGCATGTTGCCTTGTTCGCGGATTTATCCGATTTGACTTTTCAGCAACTTACCCGATCGAGTATAGGGTATACTCGACCGGGTACAACACCAAAAATCAGGATCTTCATTTTGTTTTGGAATTTTTGCACCTTCCTTCCATTTGTGATGTTCACCAATGGTCCCTAGAGTGGTCTTGGACCTGTTTGAGCTCATAACAAACCTAATCTAAACAATTTACAAACATTTTACAAACTAAACTATTACACCAAAAGTGTGTAATTTCTAGAGTAACAATCACTCAAAACTAATCAAAAACACAAATATAAACATGGAAATAACATGAATGTCAGTACTCTAAAATATTCTAAATTTGGCAGAACGTGGTCTAGTTTGTTTAAATCAAATCTTACCTATTTAAATCTGGTTTAGATGTAAAACCAGTCCAGTTAAAAACTTTCTAAAATGAGTGATTTCAAAATTGCTAATATTGTTTGGAAAGTTATATGCATGATTAGTTATTATAATGGGGTTTGGCACGTTTCTCAAGTCACACTGGCTAGCGTGCATAATTATTAATCACGAGAGGATTGAGGGTTAAACTTATTAGTGTCCACCCTAAACTTAAGATGTTTTTAATTCGACTCGTTTCAGTCTTAGATTAAGACTTAAATAGAGTGAACCATATATATTGGGCTTTGGCAGTTGTAAAATACACATATACGAAGTAATAAACATTTACCACACCAGACTAACTCATCAAACCAGATCAGACCAAACTAGAAAATTTTAGTCCAATTAAAAACATCCATACGAGACATGCTTAAATGCAACTTTGACACAACTATCTTCCGCCAGACGAGACAAGTGAGCTACGGGATTATTCTGAGAGATGATCAAGGCATGCTTAAATGCAACTTCGACGCAGCTATCTTCCCCCAGACGAGACAGGTGAGCTATGGGATTATTCTGAGAGATGATCAAGGCAAGTTCATTGCAACCCGGAATGGTTATCTTAATTGTCATCAAGATCCTTTGCTAGCGGAAACTATGGCATGTAAGGGGGCTTATCTTGGTTGATAAATAGAGGCGATGCAAACGTGGTGATTGAAACAGATTGTCTAGTCCTGAAGAATGCTGTCAATCGAGAGGAAAACATATTTTCCTATTTTGGCTCTTTAATTTCTGCCTGCAAACTACTTTTTAATTCCTTATTTAACTCTTATTTTGTTCATGTCAGACGCTCTGCAAATGTTGTTGCTCATATGTTGGCTCAAGCTATTATTTCTCAAACGATTGTTGGGAGCTGGAATGATACTCCCCCAGATTCTATACGTGATCTGATTACTTAATAATATGATCGTGTTTCCTTCAAAAAAAAAGAAGAGAATGATAAATTGATTGAGGAAGTGATGCAATTAAAGTTTGGTAGTGGACACAAGACTATGGAAGCACGAGAAAGTTTTACTCAAGCTCAAATTATATGGTATTAAAAGAGAAGAAGAGTGCAGTAAAGTCTGAACAGATGGTGGCGCAATCTGCGTTGGAGAAGATGAAAGGCAATCATGTATCAAAGATAGAAATTGAAATCGTACTAGCTAGATTTGTAGTACTTGGTTAATTGGTTGTGTCTCTGTTGGTTCACTTATTATATGTAAAGTGTACTAATAGAAACTCATCTCTTAGTCTAGGAAAGCTTACATAAAGTCTCTTAATCCCACTCAATCCCTATATATATATATATATATATATATATATATATATATATATATATATATATAGGGCAAGGTTCAAGTGAGAAGAACCCTTTGGGTGAGAAATGAGAATGAATCTCAGCCATTGGATTCGACTAAGTTGCAGTAAAAAAACACTTCATGATGCACTGAAATATGCAATCTAGCACGGTGGCATTTCTGTAAATACTTCTGAAAAATCCGTATTACACGTGTCTAGTGCAACATGAAACTATTTCGGTGCAACGCCGTCAAATATTAGTGCAACATGAAACAGTTTTAGTGCAACATGTGCAAAATTTAAATATTACTGCAACATAAAGCCAAGTTTAGTGCAACTTCGTAAATCCAATGGCTGAGATTCATTCTCATTTCTCACATTAGATGCATTTCTCACCTGAACCAAAATCTATATATATATATTCAATAAATAATTATGTGTGTATAGGTTTAGGTGAGAAGCTGATCTAATATGAAAAATGAG